CTGGCTGCAAAAGCTCCCACTAGGGTTTTTTACCTTCTTAAATATGTTATCACAGGGGTGCTACCACTGTTGCTGATTGGCTCAGTCTTGGCCAGCGGTGGGTCCGTCTTGGAGCCGGCTGGCATTGGCTCTGTCAGACACAGGGGAAGCTCCTAGCAGCTTCTCTCAGAAGTAGCCCCCCTGCTACCAAAACCTTGCTACACAAACCCAAAACAAAAGTTTTCTTCTAATCCATCTTATTACATCCCTGAAAACGTTGGCCCCTATTTCCAGTAGTAGTAAAGTTTATGGATGTTTTACCAATGACTCTCCAAAGCGGACTTTCCTAGCTGCCTTGCTGTAGCATACCACAATTTGTGTGTTATTTCTCAGCTACAGTGGTGTCAAAAACTGACCTAAAGCCCACATGATTCATCTGAAACTGTAGTATGATTGCAGAAATGAAGGATAATCTTCTAATTTCTTAGAACACATCCTCTTTGCAGTGGGTGTGATGTAACTGTTCACTTGGAAAAGATCTTTGTGCTTTACTGAATTATGGGGATTGTAGACTGGTGTCTCATACAATTCATAACTTCGTTAAAGTGAATGTTAGTGTGCAGGTGTGTGCACGCAGTTGCACACAAATAGGCTTTGACTGTTGTGCTAAGGTCTTTTAGCACTCATGTAGTGTCTAATGATGTTCTTTCACCTTTGTGTCAACCTCTGCACTGTCAGAGGCTCCAACTGAGAATGGCGATTACTATGTGTATATGTTCTTACAGGAATATGGGTAAGCATCTCCAATAAGCTGTTTGTATTTTCTAAGTGACCATGGGAAACATAATTGTATTTCTTTTGCAATTTTGTTAACTGTTGTCTATAAATAGAATTTAAAACAAAAAAATTTGAAATTATTGATGTTTTGCAGGTCATAACTTTTATTATAATCATAAATCATGTGGGTTTCTTTTTTATAAACTGTGTTTACATATGGAAGCATGACAGCAATCAACCTCAAGCTACTTCTTTCACAGGCATTTAATTTTTTTTGAGGAAATATTTTTTAACAATGGCAGTAAAGTAGAAACTCAAATAGTTTCAAAATACATCATCAGTTCTTATGGTTGCTTGTTTATATTTTGTTTTAGTCCTGTGCTTTCAAAAAGATTTCCTAACAGAACCTGCTGCAAAATTTTGTACAAGTTGGCACTTGGGGATTTGTAGGCCTTTCAGGAGCCTAATTGTTCAATAAAATTAATAATGATTTATAAGGATTTTCTCTACAGAATAGCCATTCTGGAGTTTTTTCCTGCTTTGGTTTAATTCAGTATGCCCTTTAAATTGGTATTCAATTTTTTAAACATGACATTTGAAAAAGGAAATGCAGAATGTTTACATATGATGGACGCAATGAAGATCTTATGAGTCCTGTGAAAGATCTCATGTGTTAAGTGCATACTGCGATGTAAACTGTCAAAGGAACACTCAAGCTATATTCTGTCTTACAGGAATGAGACTTACACATCCAATTTACTATAGTTCTGATTCATTATTTATTTATATGGACATAGCACACATTTGGAAATACAGTACAAGGGTCTCAATCCCCTGAACATTTGTCTGCTACTGACTGAATAGGAGGTTTGGGGCATGATCCCACCTCAAAACTGATAAAATGCAACAATTTTGGAAATATTCTTTTAATGTTATATTTGTCAATATAATTTTGTAAATACAATGCAGAGCTGCACTATATTATGTCATTGTGTGTGTATATGTGTGTGCATGTGCTGTGGACAAAATATTCAGGGTGAGACATTGCAACTCCAGAATTAACCTCAGAAACTGCTGATTTTTTAATTTTTTTTTTTTTTTTTTTTTTGTGTAGATGGACAAAACCAATTTTGAGAAAGGGGTACAGACGACGGTTGGAACTGTCAGATATTTATCAAATCCCTTCTGCGGACTCTGCTGATAATCTTTCTGAAAAACTAGAAAGGTATGAAAGATTCATGAAATAACATTTCAGCAATCACACTGCAATTTTCATTAAAAAGCTGTTGGATAAAATGTTTAAATAGCATTGGGTGCAAGCTGGTTGCACCCATTGACTGGCTCATTCAGCACACAGTTGTCCTTTGGAGCTGACTGGGATCCCTGGTGCAGATGTATCACCCAGATGCTCTAAATTACTGTATGCAGGTGCCTGTGACATCTGTCCATTGCCCAATGAGGCCAGACTCACAGTTTCAATGTTAGTTCCCTGTTCTGCTGTTCTTTCTTCCCAAAATACCCTTGTAAAACCTTGTGTTATTTTTTTTTCTTCGACTAAATAACATTCTTAATTTCCTTTGATACCACCTTTGACAGACAATTGCTTCTGCAGAAATCATGCCCCGACTGTCCTCATTTAGGCTTCCTCTCTTCTCTACCCTATTTCAGTTGGTCCTAATTCAGAAACTGTGCTACACTTGGGACTAACTCTTAAAGATACAAGTGCCCAAATCTTGTCCCTCTCCCCCAGCCTCCGGTTTAGCTTTCCCTGGCGTGCCAGGGCAGCTCATGTCTGCAGTGTTGTGCCAATCCAATTAAATTTAATTGAAGTGTGACATATGTATTCAAAACTGGTAGAAAGTATTGAAAACATTGGTATGTTCGATGCATTTTGATAGTTTATAAATGGAATGTTCTGGTTATTTAATATTCTGTTGAAAAATGGAGAAAAGACCTAGCTGAGGGAATTCTTAGGAGTGCTTTAATCTGTGAGATGAATTTTGACTAAATATATGCCTTCTGTGTATTGCATTGCTTCTGATCAGCAATTTCTTATCAAATAGAAAACTATTGTCCCAGCAACACAGGTTAAAAATAGTGCTGTGCAATAGAAAAGTCACATTTTTGATGCTTTTTTGGTGTTTCTTTTTTGCAGCCTGAAAGAGCTCCAAAACATTTATTTGCCTACTATTTGTCCTTTGGTCTTAAGTACAGCAGGTTTCTTTAAAACATACAATGTGACCTTTTCATGAATTAATTCCCTGCGGGGTGATGTATGGCTGAGTATTTAAAACTGCCAAATATGTGGCTGAACTAGGTTTGAACTTTTATAGATCTATCAAGTCAATGAAGGCCAGGTCTTTGGGGTCTCTGCAAAGCTTTCTTTCATTAGTCACCTTAGCTAAATCTCCTTGGATATACTTGAGTGACTTGAAGTATGTCAGAGCCATAGACCCATGTATTTGCTCGCGCAACTTAATGGCCTTGTTTTTTGGTTCCTTTTCAGAGAGTGGGACAGAGAGCTGGCAACTTCAGAGAAAAAACCCAAACTTATTAATGCTCTTCGACGATGCTTTTTCTGGAAATTCATGTTCTACGGAATAATGTTATATTTAGCGGTAAGATTTGTTCGTTTTTTCAGTAAACTTTTAGTGTTTCATAAATAGATCCAAGTGTTAGGGATTGGTAAGTTAATACAGAATCCTGTGAGTAGCTACAGATTTTGCTCTGTGTATTGCTTATAAAGATAATAAATACAGAGAGATACTCAGGGACCTTCATTAAAAAAAAAGTATTTTCTGATAATGTCTTAATATCTTTAGAACATACATATTAATGATTTTGACATGTACGTAGTGCTAGGTGCTGGCATATGCTTCTCCAAGTACAGGTAGAGCACCTGAATTTTTGTATCGCTGCTGAACTAAAGTTATCATTTTCTCATGTTACGGTTTTTAAGACGTTTCTAAGGAATTTTCTGTCCTCACATTAAAACAAACGAGAGTCCAATTTCACATGATTTAGTCAATTTTGTCAAAGTGACTATCAGCCAGCTTCATAGTTAAATACTTTATTCAGCTTTATGTATGCAATAAACAAGTTGTCTTCATTAGTGGTAACAATTCTGCATAAGTAACCGTGTGAGATATGCTTGGATCTTGGTGCGTAGTGCTCCGAAATGTATGGTCAGGAACTTGATGTGAAAGTCGGAACTGATTGTGTTTGTCACCTTTCCAACTTGTTAGCTAGGATTACCCTGACTTACCAAATGCCACCTGTTTGACAATCCTATCACTGGGGTTAGGAGCTGTGAAAATAGTTTTTATTAATGATGTCTCACTAGGTGTGTTGGATGGCCAGACTGTAAATCTGAAAATTACTGTTAACCAATATGCACATTAAATATCCCTGTTATTTTCAAGTTTCTGCAATTTAGTCATAAAAGTGAGATATTAAACTCCATGCTTCTCTGCTGAAAATGCTGTGGTATGAGAAACTGCAGCTATAATAGCCCAAATGGCCCAAAGTGGCCAGATGTACTCAAGATAGTGTTTTCAGATGTGAGATGAATCTTTAGGGCAGATTTTTATTTTTGGAAGATTGATACAGTAAGTAACTAATTCCAATGGCATTAGTGTTGAATGTGATCTAGTTTAGCGGTACTTTCAAGGTCATGGATTGGGCAGAAGAAGAGCGGAAGGGGAATTTGTAGAAAATAGCCCACAAATGTCTCTGAAGTTCGTGTTGCTTGCTATAAAACTAAACTTCTCTTTTCTTCTGGCTTTCTGTCGAGTATCCCAAGGAACTATGCAAACCTTCGTGCCCATTAGAATGACCCCTCTCACAGGCAGAAAGGGGAGGGTAGTGTGGAGAGTTGTCATCATGCCCATGAACTTGCTAGTGACTCCTCCGTAGAAGGGAAATTTCAAGCTAGGTAGATCTTCCGGGAGGTAGATGAAGAAAGATCATAATCTGCTCTATGGCAGCCATGCCAGATGTATGCTAAATGAAACCACACCAATGTCTATACCTTCAAGTTTTAATAATTTTGTATAAAACACTTGAAACATAAATAAGAATATGCTGAAAGTTAAAACACATGTCCTTAACTACATGCAGACTTTTCAGCATTAGAAGGGAATGTTTTAAGGGTGAAAAGTTCTAATGCATCAGGCAGCGTTTCGGGTCAAAGAGCATTTCTCAGGGTAAGCATCGAATTTGGAGCCTGACTTCTGCTAGTTTTATGCTGGAATGGTTCCACCCCAATAAACTTCCATGGAGTCCCTCCTGTTTACACGGCTGTGTGAAAGACAGGCTGATCTTGCAGATTACAAAGTAGGTAAATTTATTGAGGGTTCTGGGATGAAAGTCCTGTAAGATATTCCTAAATGTATTAATTTGGACATGCAAATGTTCTGGTTTAGATCACTGCTGATTTCATTTGGATAATTAATAATGGACTATGATTTCACTTCAGATTGGATTTTCCCCTAAGAATTATGGAAAAACTGATTGCTGCTTTCTTTTGTAACACCATGTCTAGGGGAAATGAGTATCAGTAGTAGAATCAGAGAGTCATAAAGTAAAATGCTCTAAAGAAAAAGGAAGAAATTCTCAAATGAAAATGGAAATTGCTTCCCTCAAAATGCAGCGTTCACTTTCTTTTTAGTCTATACAAAAATTTAGGATGTACCTCAGTCTGTCATGCTGCTTCATGTATTCAAAATAAAAAAAAAAACCAAAACGCCCTATAGGCCTTCATTTTTTGCAATCATATTTAGATTGTCTCCCAGATGTAGCTCATAAAGAACAACTCTGAAATTTCTCTGTGCCAAGGCTTGATTTTAAAATAAAACCTAGTTTGAAAAAGTTTTTTACATTTTATCTTTTTGCTTCTTTCTCCTGGATAGATACATTCACACATGGGTGTACACAATTCTGATTAAAAATAGGGAATTCAAGAAGTCAGCTCCCCAGCCAACTTTGTTCTCTCCCAGTTTAAGTCTCTCCAGTTTTTTGGACTCCTGTCACTAGTGAAGAGCCTCAGGTCTGCTCTCACTGCCACTCCTCTCAGCCTGAAGTCGCTGCTGGTGCAGATCTGGTTCAAAGAGACATGCCCTGCTTGTCTTCTCCATACACAAGGGCTGCACGAGGAGAAGGGAGTGGAGATGATGGTTACAGCGCTGTCTCTGCTCACTCTGGAGGGCTTTTCTGCATCAAACCCCGGGCTACCCCCTGGCTGTTTGAGTGTCATGCAGGGCTGGCAGGCACAGAACCTGCCTGAGTTCTGTGGTCAGTTAAAAAAAGGTCTAAATGGGTAATTTTTCTCTTCTGTATCTTTTCATTCCCTTCTTACAGTGTTAACTTGCTCCATGCTACTCAACTTTCTCTTCTCTTCTCTATTGCAGTGCTTATCTTTCCCCTTATTTCTTTACCTCTTTCTCCAGCAGTGACCAGATTTCCACACTTTTAATGCCATCTTTCTCTCCCTCTAAACTCCCCCAAAACAAACAAAAAACCCCCAAACACAACCAAACTCCAAAACCTCTAAATCCAAATAACTTCAATGTGATTTCAGTTTTTTTTTGCTTCTCTTTTACCAGAATTTTTCTTATTCTTTCCTATTTTCAACCCAGTCTTTCACGCATAAAGGGCTGCATAGGCTTTAGGAAAGACACAATGGATCAAAGCCAATTCTTTTGATTCTATGCCTGTGTGACCAACGGAAGACAAATAAATCAGCTCAAGTTCATGCCTAGAACGAAAGGCAGGAGGCAATGTGGCTGGAACGGAAGTCGATGAGTCAATTAATTCTCTTTGTCCAGGTAGGGCAGTTAACCACCTAGGACAGGGCCTCTTGCTATCTAAGCAATCCTTCTTTCTAAACTCTTTCACTTCGTTTGGTGACTCTTCTCTGGGATGAGAGCCTTTGTGGACTCCTACCTGATTCTGTCTTTTATTTGCTCCTGCCGTCTCATTACTGCCTTTAATTTTTTAACCTTTTTCCTCATCAAGCCAGAAACTCCTTATTCATGTCAGGTTTTTGTTTCTGAAGAAAACAGCAGTTCTACAAATTTACCCTATCATACACTAGAATAGGTGTTCCTGCAGAGTCTGCCAGCCAAAACTATCGGAGTCATGCATTCCTGTTAAAAGTTAAGCAGTGTCTGAGGGCTTTTGCGGGCAATATTGAGGATAACTTCCTTTCCCAGAGTACAGGTAAGTGAAGTGTGTGTGGGCATGCACATGTGGGACTGTGCAGGGTTGATTTCTGTGTGTGGAATTTTTAACGGAGTACAATTTCAGACCAGGTGAGGACAGAACAGGACTGTAGAATTTTTGAGTCATATTCTTTTTTGTTTGTGGTTTTTTTTTCATTTCTTTAAGAAATCACAGACAGGCAATTCAGCACATAGGAAACAAAATCTGCACTTTTCACAATGAACAAGGGAAGATTAAATCTTAGTTTAAAGTCTTGATTCCGTTATCATTAGTCTTCATTTTATTGAAAGCTGTAAGAGGAAAAACTCGCTGCTAAAGCCTCTGGTGTTCTTTTCAGGCCCTGCGCACGGAAATTAATGGGAGCTTTGCCATTAATTTGAATGGGGACAGGATGTTGTGCCGTACTGGCATAGGTGCAATCAAGTTGTGCGTTCTTTTGAACTTCACTTTCCTTTCAGCTCTTCTCTTGTGTAATTCCTGAGCCATTTTCACGGCACCTTTCTTGGAGCGTGGTTTAAACTCTGCTGACATCCCTGCTGTTTGTGTAGTTGTTGTTGCAACTGGCATCACAGCTTTGCTCTCATTAGGTCTAGCAGTTTTTCCGTCTCTCCCTTTCCCCTCACGCGCCGTAGGTGATGATGTTATTGCAGGGTGGACACTTGTGCTCTGGCCCCCTAGAGTACTACGACTCTCCCTCGTAAATAGCGTTGTGTCAGGCACGTTGAGTTACTGCACTTAATGTATCTGCTCCCCTGCTGCTCGAAACAGCTTCCGTGCTTCACCTCATCAGCAGATGTGTCTTGCAATTTAAAGAAAAGGTGATATGACAGTGAAACAAAAATCTTGCTTTTTAGCATGATACAGGCTAACAAATTGCGTACTTTGCTGTGAGGATCGGTTTTATTCTACTTACATTTTTCTCTTATATTCATCCCCATGAAATGTATATTTCCACTCAGGCACAGCAGCTGCTAACATTAACTTAGAAATGGTTTTAGTATCATATCCCAAAGGACCCTAATGAGGATTTCCTGAAGTTCTCGCATATAGGTCATGGGTGTGAGTGAGGAGGCAGGGAGGGACATGAAAGTCCCAAAGCACTTCTTGGGCATATGCCAAAACAGAGATGTGCATTATTGTCTTCAAATGCAGAATGATTGAGCATATGGGGGATACACGTAATATAAAAGTGCTCATTGTGTAAGAATAGCCATACCAGGTCAGATTGGCACGGTATCCTGTGTCACACTCTCATTTCTCTTCAGATCTTTGCTCTTTTAATTAAGATTTCTGTGAGGGGGCTGTCTTTGAGTTTCTCAATGGCCTGTGATGAATGCAGAGGGAAGAGCAAGGACAGGAGAAGGAAAAACACAACTCTTGAAAACTGGATTTTCTGTTAGATGCAGAAATCCCTTTTTTTTTTTTTTTTTTTAGGCAGGTCATTCTAATCAGTTTGTTTATCCATGTTTATATCAGTGTGTAATTTTGAGGCCACAAGACAAAAAATGAAAAACAGGTAGTTCTGCTTTCGTTTGTATGTAGACTGGATAATAATAACTTTGGTAAGTAAACTGATAAATCTCCACTGTAAACCAGTGAATTTTCACGCCCCATGAGATAGCAAATGATTTGGCTTATTGCCAGCCATTATTCTACCCTTAGTCTGTAAATCACCTTTTTTTCGAGCAAGCTAGGCATGTATGCAATACCTTTATAGTCACAACAAACACAGCAGCGGAGTGTGGCATTTTCACTGGAAAAAGAGTAAATACAAAAAAACCCCAACAAACCTTGCTATTTTAAGCCTATATATAAAAGCTTATCTTGGAATCTCTGAGAGTATGAAAGCACCGTATTGTCCTTGAGAGGTGACCGTTTTGTATTTTGTGAGTTTTGAGGAGTTTTGGTTTGCCGCTTCGGGATGCATGTGGTCTAAGCACAGCTGCCTTGGGTCATGTGTGTTTTAATAAACACTCCTCCCTTTGCCCACTAATAACACTGAAGTCTTTGTCAAAACCGGCTCCAGGTTTACAGCATTGGTGTTTAATTTGGGAAATGTAGTGTGTAGCGCAGGTATGCTATTTGAAATGTAAAATGTCATCTCTTCTGTGGAAAAAGTGAATGATGAATATCAGCTCCACTAACAGTGACATTCAAAAGGGGTTACAGTACAGGTTGTAGAGGTACTTGGGTTTGCTCTTGTATAAAAGACCAAAAGAAACCCAAAGGAGAAGGGAAAAAATTAAAGGGGATTTCCCCAATCTATTTATCATTGTAAAACATTAATTACAGCTGAACTTCACTGGTTCGCTTCTCTCTGAGTCTCTGTATGGTGGTCTGTGTGGCTTTTGGCTGGAAGGCAGTACTAATAACTTTTTGGCAGAACTTAACACATTCATACAAAAAAATAATTCAATAGTTTCTTGCTATTTTTGAAGTATCAGATGCTTTCTGCTGAGACGCAACAGAAAGAAGGATAAGGAGGCACACATAATAAGTTCTGAGCACTAAGTATTTTTACACTGAGTATAACAATGAAGCAAAGGAGCACATAGATACTTCATACCCTTCAGAAGCTCATGCAGAAGATGAAGCAAATTAGACCGCAGTACACCGATGATTTTTGCAGGTTTTGGGGAAAGAAAGAGGGGGTGGGAGGCAGAGATGGAAAAGGATGAGGTTACAGGAGTGAAAGCGTGAGAGCGATGGGGGCAGGAAGGGAAATGAAAGGCAAAGGTGAGATAACACTAGTGGGGTTTAATTACAACAGAAAAGGAGGCTGAGGGCAAATGTGATAGCAGGCTAGGGTAAAGTCAGGGCTATGGCAGATCACTTGGAAGCCTTGAGTTTAGCAGTTTGATACTGCCTCTTTTTCCTCTCCTACTCTGGCTCTCTACCATGTTGCTCATCTGGGAAGGGAGGTGCTGGGGCTACTAATGCAGGAGGGACTGGTTTCTGTCTGTGACTTTTATTAAACTTACCTCCCCTATCATTTAAACCCTCTCACCCTGCTTTCGTTAGAACCCTTGATGCAACGTCTAGAACTGTTGAGTAGGATGATCCAAATTGTTCATACTTTTATTCTGTCGCTATTTTCATTTACTTTATGTTTTAGCTATATCCTCACTGTGTTGTTCTGGTGGTGTTCATTTCAGGAGCTCTGTTCCTGTGTCCTCTGAGTCCAGTAAAGTGCAGTGAGAACTGTTCCCTAGGGGCCAAAACAGAGATCCAGCCTGCTAAACTGGATTCAGTCATATGATGTGGTTAATCCATTACAACTCTGAAAAGCAAATGTGGAAGCTAATCTCAGTTGTCACTTTTGTAGAAAATGATCAAACAGAATTTACAAATTAGATTTGCTTTGGTGGAGTTGCGGGAGCATCACAGATTAAGACAGCAGTGAGTTGTCTGTTCTCCTGAGCAATTACTGCAAATTTCTGTGGTCTGCACGGCAAACAGATCTGGCTTCCGCATTGAGGATATAAAGCTGCAAATCTCAGTTGTTAGGACTTGAAATTAAAATGTTAACCATTTTGAAAAAAATGAACAAACAGCTGACCAAAATGATTTTTCTTGTTTCCATCTGCAGGAAGTCACCAAATCTGTGCAACCCCTTCTACTGGGAAGAATAATAGCTTCCTATGATCCGGACAACTCTGATGAAAGATCCATAGCCTACTACCTGGGCATTGGCTTGTGCCTTCTCTTCCTTGTGAGAACACTACTTATACACCCTGCTATATTTGGTCTTCATCATATAGGAATGCAAATGAGGATAGCTATGTTTAGCTTGATTTATAAGAAGGTAATTGTTTCATTTACACTCAAAGGCAAACCTCTGTCTGTAGCTTACGTAATCTTTAGGCCAGTTTGTTGAAAGATTGATAGTTTTGTACACAAAGTACACAAAAGAATAATGTGGCTAACATCAGTTTCTGACAGCTCTCCATTTCCTAAGTCCAAAGAATTAAATACTTGTCTGTGTCTGACTTGACTGAAGTCAGCCTCTGTGTGAGTTCTGACTTGCTGGATATGTGGTGAGATGCCTTAATTGTTCTACCACTGTGCTCCTGTTATGCACGTGTATTGCAAAGAAAGAATGACATATGCTGGTGGCCAACGAATATTTTTAAAAGAGTATTAGAGGTGAAGATGTAAACAATAAATATAGCATAGAAAGGATTGAGTTTGAATGATACCGTGTGAGATCTCTGTAGCATGAAGAATCAACAGATACTGGTGCATCACGTGTTCACAAATCCAAAGATTTAAAAAGATGTTTGGTTTTACCAATAACAAAAGCAGCTTATTTAAACAAACATGTTAGTTACTCTAGTATAAAGCTCACTGTGAAAACATCTTTCAATAATATTTTTGTCAAGATAGGCACAGTAGGAGATTTTTGAGGGTGCACAGCAGCACACAGCATGCATGCTTAATTAAAACTTGCATTTGCATATATATCTATATACATAAAATATGCAACAGAAAGCAAGGTCTAAATCAATAAATCAATATTTGTAAAGCAATTTAATGGTTATATTAAATTCAAGTGACATAAATAACAAGTTTAATGAGACTTTCTTTATAGCATAAGCAGATAAGTGAATTGTTATTTGTACTACTGTACCATTGCCTATTATTTTTATCTGTATTTATTCTGTTTTATGGGGATGAGTTACATGGCCATTTTTCTACAGTTTTGCTCTCTTTTACAGATCTTAAAACTGTCAAGCAGAGTTCTAGATAAGATAAGTACCGGACAATTGGTCAGTCTTCTTTCCAACAATCTGAACAAATTTGATGAGGTACGTCATCATTTGTTTAATCCACTTGGCGATTCATCAAATACAAATGCTATTCTTCAAGCTGTTCATGACAAATATTAAGGAAGGAAGGAGCATAAATGACGGACTGCACTGAGTGCTCATTGTGGATATAAAGTGAATCACTACTTTAAGAAAATGCGTTGGCATGTGGTCATGGAAATGCCTGTTTTGATACTTATGACATCCTTTATCTACTTTATAAGTAGAGGAAACCTAAAAACCAGGTGTGCCATGAAAACGTGCTTGTTCTACAGTCCAGTGAGAACCTGCCAGGAAACCTCTCGGTTATGCAGTTGGTTTCACAGAGGTCAGAACTTGCTGGTTCAACCCTTCCATCCTCTGTTCCTGACCACTGTACCTTTTTACTAAGGTGATCCAGCCTGTTCCTGCCGTTGAACAAGCGATGATGTTCAGAATCCTGTTGCTACTATTACCCACTCTTCTAAAAGTCTGACTAAGTGTTGATGTAAGACCTTATTAGGAACCATTCCCAACACATCCATCTTAGACAATACTTCCAGAATCTCCTGTAAAACTTCTCTTTCATTAAAGGCACAGAGGTAAATCCCTGCTAATGGGTCTGGGGACTGGAAGCTCTATGAGCTTCTGTTCAGCAAGTATGTTTAATTGGCCCATTGGTAGTACGAGGTTTGCTTCCTATGAAAGAAGCAAAGTCGGAGAGACTGTAGACACATGGCTGGAAGCGTAAGGTGCATTTACGTTAAGCACTATATTACTATATAGAGCAATGTCAGCTAGTGCTGAACAAGCTGGGACAAGTGCCCCTTCGTTGCAGCAGTGTAGCTGCGGTAACACAGACCCCTGTGCAGCCTGATCACAGGATTCAGTCCAAAATCTCCCCAGTATGAAGGAACACTACTGAAGTAGGCAGCAGTCTGTTTTAAATTACTTGTCTTCAAACAACAGTCATCTCTTCACCAAGGTAATATTCGCCTCCTATATCAGAGTAAATCACTCTCAAAAGACCTTCTGTGTATTTTTCTCATCTTGCAGTGGTTGAAAAAGCCAGCATCGATGGCAAATTCTGTTTACTTTTACAAAGCTGGGATTTTTCCTCATGTGTATACATAGCAAAGACACAAATGCAGACTGAACTTTGCCTTACAAAAATCAAAGTTTAGGTGTGGAATGTATATATATTGCTGTGCTGTCATCATAATTAACACCCAGAATGCTATGTGCTCAGGATCACAAATCCTCCTTTATAAACTTGTTTTACGACTTGAAATATTTGTACTATTCTTCATTACATTTTTCAAAGTGTCACTTTAACGACTTCTTCCTTTTCATGTAGTTTTCAGAGCACATCTATAACTTGTATTATTACTATTTTCTGCTGTGGGCTTCCACAGGGTCTTGCTCTGGCTCATTTTGTGTGGATTGCACCTTTACAAGTGGCACTGCTGATGGGACTGCTCTGGGATATGTTAGAAGCTTCCGCATTTTCTGGACTTGCTCTTCTAATAGTCCTGGCCTTTTTCCAAGCCTGGCTGGGACAAATGATGATGAAATACAGGTGACAAGACCATTTTAAAATATTTCAATATATTTTCCTGAAACACGTTGGTTTAAGAAGCTTATACTACTTGATTAAGGATCTCTAGTTATGACATTGTTACAAAAGAGGAGTCCAAACAGTGTTGGCTGTGTTGGGAAAGTCATGGACAAGCCTTGAGGTATTTAGCAGCAGCTGTCTAAACTTAGCAAAATGAAAGGCCTAACATGCAGTAAATAGTGATATGCTTTGTAGAATTAAAACTCCTTGTTAGTGACTTGATTTATTCTTTTTAGAGCTTGTATTTTCTCCTTAGTAAAATAATTACTAGATTTCTAATAATTCCTTTCACATTCTTCATAATAATTCTGTTAAAATAAACATTTTAAGTGTAGGCATATAGGGAAAGTGTTTTCATAAGATATAATGGGATACAAACTAAGTATACGGGATGAAAAAGATGAAGATTGACCGACTGTCTTTTTACTTTGTAGGAATAAGAGGGCAGGAAAGATCAATGAGAGACTTGTCATCACCTCAGAAATAATTGAAAATATACAGTCAGTTAAAGCCTATTGTTGGGAAGATGCAATGGAAAAAATGATTGAAAGCATCCGTGAGTAAGTGTTCTCATTTGTTAGTCAAATTTTTTATGTGCTCAGAAAAAAAAAAATAAAATTAGGTGGCTATGAACACCATCTGTGGTCTTGTTAGTTAAGAAGTAAAGCACACAAATATTAATCCTCCACAAACTAACCGTGCATTCCCACACTGCAGCTCGGGTTTTTTCCCAATTTGTTAAGTTCACTATGGAGGTGAGATTTTTTATTTTTTTAATTTGCTTCCTCATTTGTTGTAATGATATTTCAGTGGTTAGCTTGTGCAGGTGAAACAATTGTGGCATCTGTGTTTGTTTCTGGCCAACCCTATCCTCATCTTACAATAAAAAGCCCTTTTGTGATGGTTACTTAAGGCTTTACAGTCTTTCCTATTCTGCAGTGGAGGAAATAGTACGAGTCCTGTGCAGCCATTTTCCGAGAAATGCAATAAAGCTGGTTTTAAACGTTACATGCAATCTGTGAAAGGATTAAAGTAGCACAGCTTCATGTATTCATCCTGCACAATTCCGTTAACATTTATTGTCTGTGGATAGCCTTGTATAATGCTTATATTTTCAATTGATATCGAGATTGAACTGGAACTAGCAGACCCGAAGCAGAAAGGAGGTAAAAGAGCTAACCTAGTTAGCTGAGAGCTATGAGAAGGTCTTTGTTACAGACAGGGAGTCCTGGGGGAAGGGAGAAGTGACATATTGATTGATGGGTGACGCTGCACTAAAGCTGTCCCGTGTGTTTGTTTAGTCCTTTACAGAGAATTAAAATTCTGTGCCAGGTGTGTGATTGGGAAAATAAAAGAAAATAAAAGAAATATGTGTCATATTATCATATAAATAAAAGAGATGAAGCGATATTATTACACAAACACCTTGTCCAGCTGCTTTCTGAAAGACAATCCAGGGAAAGCGAAGTGTTCTTTACCTTTAGAATAAGGAAGATCTTAAAATTTGTAATGATTTGCTATAAACAATCAGAGAAAACTCAGTCTGAATCCAGACCAGCAGTTCCAGCTTGAGGATGGAACCAGCTTAGGATTCCCCTGGTGTCACTAGTCACATGCGTTGCTTTTAGGAAATTCGAGACCGCATCTTGTGACCAAATCCTGTAGAAATGAATTAAATAAATTTTAGTCCACAAAATGGTCACAGAAACATGGAAGAAGGACTGTCATTTTATGATCTAGATTTTCTACAATAATTTATAGTGAATTTTGTAATGCTGGAATTCGATTTTTATTATATTATGTGTGGATTCTTAAAAGACAAGAATGCTAGCAATATTATAAGATCAAAGTATCTCTCTTCTACTTCTCTGCACCAAAATACCATAGTTTTTTTGAGTGATCTGACAGATCACTTGGTGAAGACATCACCAGAGCAGGTCATCCCAGGAATATCAGAGTTTCACTTGAATTTTGCTTGCTAAGCCAGCTCTGCAGGGCTTCCCAATCAGTTGGCTTGTTAAGCTGGGAGGAAACGAGACCTTGTGCGTGAAGCCATGCCTGTATTTTAGCAACAGTATGTTGTAACTTAGTCATTACTTAGTCATTACTTCTGCACGCTGGCATTTTCTGATACAACCCAGTTTAATCAACTAATGAACTAGATATAGACTTGTACCCTTACTCTGGTAGACTTGAGCTGCAGGGCTGGCCATCCTGCAGGTGTAACACTGCCGCAGGCAAACTCCCCTGGGGAACTGAGACGCTTCAGAGGGATCAATGTGGGCTGCCTCCGGTGTGCCCTCTTAAGTGTACTGATAATAACTGTTCATAACAGGTGTCCGAATAAACATATCCGCACTCCTATGGGCTATGCAATGTATTCAGAGAAGTAAAAAACCACAACACCAAACCGTTCCCCTGAACCATAGCATAGCATTGGAGAAGGTGAAGTCCAAGGTTGGAAGTGTCTATACTTTGTCAGCAGAAGATACATCCTTATATAAAGTGAAGAATCTCAAGCTCATGTGTTTGTACTGATTCCTGCAGCATCACTTCAAAACCAGACATACATTGGTCGACACTCTATACATGCCCAAGCATCTCCCTCCAAGCGCCCATGTTGTGTTAGCAAGACCTGTCCCAAGAGTGCTTAATTTACAGAGCTCTCAAGCCTGTATCACAGACAGACCCACCTTTGGAAAACTTTTGTGTGTGGCTGGGTCAGGTTGTGGCTGGTACCCGGGAGCACACTGAAAAGGGGTAGTACTTTGATTCTCCCTCTTTGGAGTAGTGGCTGTGTGCTTCAGCGCTGAGGGGATTTTTGGTAGCTTCTGCACAGGTGTTTGTGTGGGACTGGATGAGCACTAAGCCCAAAAATCTTTGTTATCCCTATTCAGTGCTGCCACCCACAGTCTCATACAAGCTCTGGAGGGATTTACAAGGCCCTTTTTCCAGGGCAGTGGCTACTCCATGGTGGTGACCTGCATGCCTGGCTACTTTCTGTAGGCCTCTCTTGTGAAATACAGACTTAATAAGAAGCACTAGGCACCCTGCTCCAAAACTGGCTGAGATCAGATTTTTCTGCCAGGTACTTTTAAGAACACTTTGGCTGACAAAAATTGGTAAGATGCGGGATGCATGTGGAAGTCTCATGCATATGTAGCGTGGAGCTGAAAGAAGGTTCCACAGAGCCCAAAATTCCTGGATGGACTTTGCATGCAGACACTGGCTCAATACCAGAGGGCACATAAAGGTTACGGTGCTCAGTCTTGGAACACCAGATATTTCCATCACTAGTGTGACTGTGAACTTGTGCACAGTATCCCAGTGGTTAGAGCACTCACCCAGTGAATCTGCACCTTGGGGTCTAGGTCCACCTCTAGCCCCAGTTAATTGCTCTTGCAGCAGAGCAATTGCTCTTTCACGGCTGCAGAGGTACCTCTGTTCAGGCAAAGCTGAGCTGCAGGGCACCTGGGGAATGTGCAGTGAACGGAGACAAAATGAGAGCAGTCAATAGAAAGCTTCAGCACTGTGAGTTAGGGTTATCAACTCAAAAAATTAATTACGCTCCCTGGATTATTTCTCTTTTTATTTAATAGCTTGCTGTAAGATGCATAGAGATTGCGGAAGCAGCTAAGAGTAATCACCAGTTGCATTCATGACCGCACAGCAGTCAGTAAGCTACTCTGTGACTAAGCTTCTATGGAGCAAGGAAGCGCAAGAGTAGACTCCCTGCCTTCCACCTCTTCAAGCTGTGGTTAACTGATACCTTACTTCATGAGTGGAGCTGCAAAAGGACATGACATAATCAGATCGTGGATTGTTCCTGGGTTTTTTTATGGTCATGTACAGCAAATCTGGCATTTCAAAGTATCTTATTTTTAGGGGAGTTCTGTATCTACATGACCAGATGAGTATGGGATGACGCTTCTGGGCAGGTATCATATACCACAGCATTAGATGTTTAAGGATGGTTGTGCCAGGAATTGTAGAGGCTTGTGGTTCATGAAGTATCTGAATTGTGATGTAGATCATTGTTATATTGTCTGACATCTCTGAACATTGGTGCCAAAATTTGGGTCCAATTATTTTTTAGGTCCAAAAATTGTTTTGAATCTTGCTTTTTAACTGTAATCCTAGAAAATAACAAGGATGAATGAGCCTCTGAGTTAATTGCTTTACCAGCAGTTCCATCCAAAATATTTGTAAGATGTAAACTCTGGAATCTTATCCTAATTATTTGTATTTGTTTTTTTTTTTTAACAGAACTGAACTGAAGCTAACCCGAAAAGCTGCTTATATGAGATATTTCAACAGCTCAGCCTTCTTCTTTTCAGGCTTTTTTGTGGTGTTTTTAGCTGTGCTTCCATATGCTGTGACTAAAGGAATTATTCTCCGAAAAATATTTACCACCATTTCCTTCTGCATTGTTCTTCGAATGACAGTGACCAGGCAGTTTCCCGGGTCTGTACAGACCTGGTATGACTCTATTGGAGCAATAAACAAAATACAGGTAGGGTACATACACTAAAATCTTCCCAAGTACGTAAGCTAATTCTTTATAGCATGTTATCTTGTCAGTTGATCAACGAAAGCGCACAGCATTTATGCAGACTTTCCGAATATACTATATGTTGCTTTGACTACACACCATGAAATGTCATTATAAATCTTGATATAGTTATATGGTTCCCCAGGCAGCATAACCACAGGAGTCTCATGCCGCTTGCACGCTGCCTTTTTTGAAAGTGGCATTTAGTTATTCCTTCTCATTGCAGAATAAGGGACTCAATAAAAATATATCATGAATTGTGGTGCTTAGGAGATGTTTTTCCTTCCGAAAAGGAAGTACAGAATTAGTACATGTTTTTAATATAGCATGGCTTCCAGTAGTTGCCGTCACAGATCTTCTGTTTTCCTTGCTATTAGTGGCAACAACAGCAGGAGACTGTGCATCTTATGCAAATGTGCATCTCATTCATTATGAGTAGTAAACATAATTAAGGTACTGGTCAAATAATTATTACCTACTTTACCTGCTGAGATGAATTGCTCATTTACCAGCATGAGAGGCTTATCTGCAGAGTCAAATCAGGGTGAATTCTCATTAACTCTATCTGTTAGATAGAGCACAAGTCTTATGAGGAGCAGCTGAGGGAACTGGAGTTGTTCAGTCTGGAGAAAAGGAGGCTGAGGGGAGACCTTATTGCTCTCTTCAACTGCCTAAAAGGAGGTTGTGGTGAGGTGGGTGTTGGTCTCTTCTCCCAAGTAGTAAGCAACAGGACAAGAGGAAGTAGCCTCAAGTTGCATTAGGGAAGGTTTAGATTAGATATTAGGAAAAATTTCTTCATTGAAAGGGTTATCAATGATTAGAACAGGCTGCCTAGAGAGGTGGTTGAGTCACCATCCCTGGAGGTATTTAAAAGGTGCATACATGTGGTGCTTAGGGACATGGTTTAGTGGTTGGATTGGCAGTGTTAGGTTAACAGATGGACTTGATGATCTTAAAGGTCTTTTCCAACCAAAACGATTCTATGACTCTGTGTTTTGTCTGCTGTTTTGAAATCACTCCGCAGGAAAATAATTCTTATTCTATTTGGGGGAGAAATCTTGGGCTTTTTTTTTTTTTTTTTACATATTTATATTTTTTTTTAAAAAACCCTGTATTTTATTATTTTTAGTGTGGTAAAATACCTAATATGGAACTTAGACATCTAAATCAGAAATCTGAACCTTAATATAAAATAAGAAGCAGGTAATAGATTTTTATGATTTTCATAGAATCATCATAGAATGGTTTAGGTTGGAAGGGACCTTAAAGATCATCTAGTTCCAACACCCCTGCTTGCAGGCAGGGATACTCTCCACTAGAACAACTTGCCCAAAGCCCCATCCAACCAGGCCTTGAACACTTCCAGGGATGGGGCATCCACAGCTTCTCTGGGCAACCTGTTCCAGTGCCTCACCACCCTCATAGAGAAGAATTTCTTCCTAATATCTAATCTAAATCTATCCTCTTTCAGTTTAAAGCCATTACCCCTTATCCTATCACACCATGCCCTTGTAAACAGTCTCTCCTGTAGGCCCCTTCAGGTACTGGTAGGGTTGTCTAAGGTCTCTCTGGAGCCTTGTCTTCTCCAGGCTGAACAAGCCCAACCCTCTCAACCTGTCCTCATAGGAGAGGTGCTCCAGCCCTCTGATCAGTTTTCAACTGGGCAGAAAGTTTGAGAAATCTAGCCATAAATCTTTCTATTTGACATTCAGAAGGCTGCCTTGTTGGGTCCCAATTTAGGCAATCCTTGTGCTCTCAGATTCCCTAGGTGTTAGTGGAGGTATCCTGTCTCTCCTGTTCCCTGGAAGAGTGTATGCCCTGTCACAGAACAATGCCCTGTCACAGAACTGGCAAGCCCAGTTGTCATACCATTGCCCTCACTTTGCTGAATGCTTGTCTGAAGGGATCTTAGCTCTGTGGATGCTCCAGAATCCATAAATAATCATCTCTTTGTGGCAGGTTCAGTACAGACCCCATAGACAGACTGCACAGAATCCCAGAACACTAATGCCCTTTACTTGCCACAAGAAACATAAACAAAAATAATAAACCACTCATACATTTCTCTGATTTAATTTCCTCATCAGTTTTGAGAGTTCACTGGGCCAGATATGTCCCTTGGGTTATTGTATTTTCCCTGTAGCTAGATCCATAGTTTCTAGACCATGAAGTATTTCTGGATCAATGTGCTTTCTCTGACTATCACTGCTCCAGCAACTCCCCCGGATGACCCCACCACCTTTGTTATGAAAGCCTAGCTATCATTTCCTTTTTTTTTTTTGCACAAACTGTGTGTATTTTGCCTTCCAGTTTTTCGGTTCCTGCCCTTTCAATCATCTGCTTTTTCCCTTCTTCTTGTTCTGCTTGGGAAATTTGCAAGTTTACTGTAGAGAACTGATTTCCCCCCGTATCTGCTTAGTTTGTCCACTGTACTGCCCACAGAGACCTACTTGGTTCCATATAATTTAAAAAGACAATTTAGAGGAGACGGTACCTACAGACTGCCTAACCTTAATAAAATAACGGAATAGAGAAGTTATTTTTCCTATATTGGCATAGACTTACTCTTCTTTTCCTAATATTATCCCAGAACGTAACCCAAGTGTCAGGTTGCTGACTTTTGTGTCATTTGAAATTACATTACTTCAATGCTGCACTGGCTGGGATCATGATCTGCCTTTATTTTATTTTTTTTTTCGGTAGAGAGATCATTCTGACTCTTTTAAACTCTTGCAGTTTTGGAATAGGGAGACAGCAGCATGTCTTGGGGAGACCCAAGGCTTTATTTGAAAAGGATTAAGGTTGGAGGGGTGATGCTGCCTGATACAAGCCCTGAAAGCAAAGGAAATGCCAAGTTTTGATATTCTTTCTAAACCAGAACCAAATACATTTATGATTATGTTTTCACTAGCAATGTAAGAATCTGTAGTTTCAAAAACATTTCCTCCTGCATCCGAAAGACGTATAAGCTCTATTTATGCCTCTCTCTAAGACACTGCAATGTAATAGCACCATCAGAAATATTAGCCAGTGCTCAGTGTTGGCAAGCATGTACTGCTCTGTGTGATACAGCCGTTGTCCCTGACCATTTCCTCTCGTCTGCTTTCACGGTGTTTCTAGGATTTCTTGCTGAAAAAAGAATATAAAGCCCTGGAGTATAATCTAACAACCACTGGGGTTGAGCTGGACAAAGTAACAGCTTTTTGGGATGAGGTTAGTACTTTTACCCAAACTGAATTAAAACACAGTGTGTATCTTTTTTACTGATACTTGCCTTGGTGTTCTCTAAAAAGAGCTGCCCACGCTCCTTTACTTTAACTGGCTTCAACTATCAGCAGGCAACAAATATATGGCAAGTAATTAATGCATGATATCAAATTATCCGTGGTTGAGAAACGTTGGAAGAGACCTTTTAACAAGTGTTAAGGTCAGTAATAAGTAGTTATTTCTGATTTAAGCCAGCCTTAAAACAGAATCATGTTGTGGCATGTATAAACATGGGAAAGCATTTCTATAATAGGCAAACGTTGTTTGTCTTAAGAGCAAGTCCAATACTTACATTAGGAAACATATTTATTTAAGAATATAATAAATATGTTATAGAGAGGAAAAGTAACATCAGAAAAGTAAGTTCACGTGTTTTTGTAAGTCCATAGTATGATATATATGTCTGCCTGTGCATATTTTATTTATTTTTTATGTACATACAAATACATATCTGTGTATGTTGCAGGGAATTGGAGAGCTGTTTGTAAAAGCAAACCAGGAAAACAACAACAGCAAAGCTCCTAGCACTGACAACAATCTCTTCTTCAGTAATTTTCCCCTTCATGCCTCTCCTGTTCTTCAGGATATAAATTTCAAGATTGAGAAGGGACAGTTGTTAGCTGTTTCTGGATCTACTGGAGCAGGCAAGGTATCTCTATTTCTGTTGTTTCAACAAAAGTCCTGATAATTTTAAGGAATAATTTTGTGTTGTTATCTGTATTGTTACTGTATTCTTGTTATCCTGTGCTTGCTGTAAAAATGATGTCTGTAGGAAAAAGTATGAATAAACTGTAAGTTTCAATAAAATGGCCAATAGTTATTTGAAGTTTTACTCTGTGGCCAATATGAGACAGAGTTTGCTGGATAGTTTTGGACTTACAAGGAAATAGTAATTTAAATAACAAAACTATTTAAATGACAAAACTATTTTTCCATAGGAAGTAAAAGGAAATTTGCAGGAATAATGCAGACTGAAACCTAAAGTTAATGCTCATGGTGAGAATCCCCCCACCTTTAAAACAATAAACTGGAGAACATAGTATAGTTATGCCAGATGCCTCAGTGTGCTAGAAAGTGGACTTTTCTAAAGAATTTTTTTCCTGCCTTGCTAAGGTTTTGAGGAAAACATTGAACACAAGATGGTCAGTAACCTGACAAGCCTTACACGAATTAGCCAGGTCCCTGTGATGCCCGCCCTGGACATATGGTCACTTGTGCTCCGGTTCCCCCAGTGCCTCACTTGGACAGGCTCCCTGAGTCCCCTGTGAAAGCCTGGGGACGTGCTGCTGGAACTGGAGGTTTTCTGAAAAAAACAGTTGTGGTTTAAATTAATCATCCTTTTAGAACCCCAAAATGTTATCAATACATTTAGTTTGCAGATAATACATCCGATTAATGTCATTAATATAAAATGAGTTGAACTGTGATACTCTTATTCACTTTGAAGAGCAAGTAATTAGCTGAGTCTTTCATCTTCACTGGGTTTTCTGAGGAGATGTGAAAGTCGAAATAAACATTCATTATGCATTTGGCAACTTTTCCTTTCCTGTTTAACAAATTCTTGGTGAACATATTCTAATTACTTTTACTTGCATGGGGTAAAATCTTTGGTTTGTTGGAGTCATTGCAAAGGACCCATCAATTTCAATATCATTAAAGCTTCTATATTATTTTTCAGTAATGATACCAGTAGAAAAAAGCAAGGGACTCAGGACATGAAGTTGTCCTCAGGCTGATATGTTGAGGTACATTTTACTGTGATAGTTCTGAATTAACAGAATAGTTTTCCTATGTTGCTGATAGTCTCAGATGGCTATTGCTAAAACTGATACTTGTAATACAAAAATGTCAACTAGAAAGTGCTGAAGAACGTGTGTATATCTCCTTTATTCAGCCTCTGAGGAAGTTGAGAAAAATTCAGATTACACTGAGCAGTTTATGTGAGTGTATACATACAACAAAATTTTTTTGCACTTTTCAAGGCAATGAAGATAAAAGGCTCATAATATCTGAAAAACTTTAAAAAATAAGGTTTACACCCCCCTCAAAAAACCCCAAAAATTCTCCTTCCCTTACTCCCTTTGAATTTAAGGTTTCCTTCATGCTGCTTGAGGCTGTTACTGTATATTCCAGGAACTGTCAGGCCTGTGAAATACACTGCACACTTATCTTATCTACAACAGGTATGAAACCTGACATCAGCTCTTTAATACTGCCTCAATATTAGATAGGGTTGGGGTTTTTTTTTTTCCATTTATGTTATATGGCATGGGATACAGTAGTTTAACATCCAGTGTGGAAAACTTACCAAGCAGCTGTCCTTTGCAAGGTCAGAAACTTCTTACTCAGCATTTCAGAAAAGTCAGATTCTGGTACAATGAAAAGAATCTCATGAGACTCCCCCTGCACATTGTATAACTTGTCAAAGAATCTCTGTGCTTGACAGCATGAAACTGTGACTTAGACAGATTTTTAGATCTTTGGCTGTTACGTCCCAGCTTTGTTGACTGCTTATTAGTAGTAAGAACACCACTGGAATGGCTCTGTAACATTTTTCCCTGTGTTTCTCAATTCTATTCTTTGATCTAGTAGCTAGTGATGTGTGACAAGGTTACTACAAGCTACTGATTAACTTTGAAATTATAACATGTCAGTGCTGAAATTGCAATCAATTCTTTTACGAAGGGAAATAGTAAATATACTTAGGTCATGTATTCACGTAAATGAGTTAGCAGTTACAGAGGAAAATTCAGATCACACTGAGCTGTTTGTGAGTGTATACACATACACAAAGAAAATTTCATTTTTCAATGCAATGCAGATAAAAGGCTTGTCAACACTAGCAAAATTGTAAACATGAATTCTGTTGTACAAAGAACAAACAAAATAGTCACTGCTAATGTTAAAAATCAAATAACATTTTCCATAGATACCAGTACCTTATGTCTGTATGTGTCTCACAGATGCTCACATTTTTACCTTGTAAAATTACTGGAAGTTTAAATAAAAATGCATACTTTTGCAGCAGCATGCCTTTTTTACAAGATACCTTACATAATTTTTATCATTTGTAGAGTGAAGTTTCTCTCATTTCAGAGGCCTTTCAGAACCATACGCATCATGAAAATCTCCACTAACTGCAGCTTGCACTAGATCAGTACTTATAGGGACACTCTTTACAAGACAAATGTACTGTTCAAGTGACTTAGCAGAATGACTCTTACTTTGTTTAGCATTTCTTACGGTTGTACAGATCTCTGCTATATTAACCAAGTGTTAATGATTTTTCAGACTTCTCTTCTGATGTTGATAATGGGAGAATTGGAGCCTTCGCAGGGTAAAATTAAACACAGTGGAAGGATATCCTTTTCACCTCAAGTCTCCTGGATCATGCCTGGAACAATAAAAGAAAACATAATTTTTGGTGTATCCTATGATGAATACCGATACAAGAGTGTCATCAAAGCCTGCCAACTAGAAGAGGTCAGTCATCTAGGACTCTTAAGACCTGTGACCCAACCCAATTGAAAAACCCCAAAGAAAAAGTCAGGGAGTGGAGCTTTAAATAAGCGAGACATTTCTGAGATTTAAGGAACTCAGCCTGGCATCCCAATTTTGTCAAGTCAGCCTGTTGCCAGCTCCATGGGAGATGCGCTGATGGTGCCAGTTCTGGTAGTTTACACAACAGGAGCTAAATAAGCTGGCTTAGATATTATAAGGTATCTGCCTTCTCAGTCTTCCTTGCTAGTTAAAAACCTGGGTAAACACATTGATGTTAAAGAAATGATGTAAAAAGTATTGCTCCTACAAAATTTTTTTCATATTTCTTCCCCATAAAGAAGCTTTTCCTTACAATCTTGGAAATTAACCTGTTTTCCTTCTTTTCTTTTGCATTTTAAAAATGGCTCCAGGTATAATTAGAATGCTGTGCCAGAAACCTGAATTATTTAGAGGAAAATCTTGACTGAGGTTGGGTGTTCCTGTGTGCACATCATTGAAAATTCTCAAACTGGAAATTATTGCAGGATCAATCTTTATGTGACATGTAGCCCACAATTAGTACAATGATGGGGAAATGTCCCTCTGTGTGTTTGATGTTGCCAGAGGGTAGTGTAGGAAAAGATATCTTCTAACATTGCAAGAAACAGAAGGAGCCAGCATTTTAGACCTTTCCACTGTTATTGCTATACTTTAAGATCAGGCATTTTGTCTGTAACATAGAATCATAGAATCATCATAGAATGGTTTGAGTTGGAAGGGATCTTAACGATCATCTAGTTCCAACCCCCCTGCTTGCAGGCAGGGACACCCTCCACTAGACCACGTTGCCCAAAGCCTCATCCAACCTGGTCTTAAACACTTCCAGGGATGGGGCATCCACAACCTCTCTGGGCAACCTGTTCCAGTGCCTCACCACCCTCATAGAGAAGAATTTCTTCCTAACATCTAATCTAAATCGACCCTCCTTCAGTTTAAAGCCATTATCCCCTATCCTATCACTCCATGCTCTTTTAAACAGTCCCTCCCTATCTTTCCTGTAGGCCCCTTCAGGTACTGGTAGGGTTGTCTAAGGTCTCTCTGGAGCCTTGTCTTCTCCAGGCTGAACAACCCCAGCTGTCTCAGCCTGTCTTCATAGGAGAGGTGCTCCAGCCCTCTGCTCAGCTTTGTGGCCCTCCTCTGGACTCACTCCAACAGCTCCATGTCCTTCTTATGTTGGGGCCCCCAGAGCTGGATGCAGTACTCCAGGTGGGGTCTCACAAGAGCAGAGTAGAGGTGCAGGATCACCTCTCTTGACCTGCTGGTCACACCTCTTTTGATGCAACCCAGGATATGGTTGGCTTTCTGGGCTGCAATCACACACTGCTGGCTCATGTTGAGCTTTTCATCAACCAACACCCCAAGTGCTTCTCCTTAGGGTTGCTCTGTAGATGAAAACAATGAATATTTAACTGTGCTGAATAGGATCTGTCTTTAGGCCACACAGTGAAACATATTTTCCTTTAGTGCCAGTCAAGCAAGAAAACAATACCCAGTCTGTGTAAAAACAAGATGAGGTTACTGTGCTTTATCTCAGAGCAGGGTATAGTTAAGTGATAATGTAACTTTTTCTTATGTGTTTATGGCCGTTTCATCTTGTGTTTGGATTGTGGTTTGCTGGAAATCTTCTTTGAAGGCTTCTGAAGACAGGAGAATTAACAAACTCTGTGTCAGGCTTTCTGAAGAGACTAGTCCTTAACCCTGGTTGTAAAAGTTGTAGTTAATGACAAAGCTCCAAGAAATAAGTGGCTTCAGCAGTTCAAAACTGTCCTTGCCTAAAAAGGCTTCCGAGCCCAGGCTCTTCCTAGAGCAGAGGGTGGTTAATGATGGCTCACTGTCTTCGTGTTGGTGGGACGGGTCAGTGTCTCAGTGTCGGTGGGATGGCTTGGTGTTTTGGTGTTGGTGGAACGGCTTGATACCTCGGTAGGCTGCAGCTCCTTTGTTCTCCAGAGAGACTCAATCAAGCCAGCTTTGATCAGTGTTGGTGCAGCTCTGTGCAGAATGATATGCTTCACCTCCTAGCAGGGCTCATTATTTGAGATTGTTTGATACTTATAAGGATATTTTCTTCTGAACTGAAGCTGAATAAATTGGGCTGGCCTGAAGAGAAGGCAGAATGGTCTGGAAGGAAGCCAAGTGCACTACCTTATTGCTGCTGTTATGCTTTCTAGTCTTGTTAGCTTTCACATCTTAGTTACTAAACAGGACTTAGTATGGCAGATTGAAGGATGGATTTCAAATATTAATTCCCAGTTTATTTCCCAATGTGACCTTTTAGGCGTTTGTTACAACAAGGGTTAGTGCTTTGTTGGATTGGGCTTGTGTGTGTTCTCATTCTTCAGAAAGGAGAGGTACCAGAGGGTTTTTGCCTAAGGGAGTTCACTTTGCCCCCTTCTCTGCAAATTTCCTAGGTATTTATATAGTCTACCTGAATGTAGGCCTGTTGCTGTCTAGTTCTTATATGGGCTTTTCAAGGGGAACCAAGAATTGGTGATAAAAGAGAGTTTATTTCCTTATTGCACGTATGCTGAAAGTCAGTTAACATACAGCTCTTAAAAGTGGCTATGTGAGATTTACTTCCAAGCTCCACGCTCACAAATACTTTTTTGGGAATACAAAGCCATCTTCCTTGACCCAGTGGACAAATAGATGTGTTACAACTGCAAAAAGTAACGTACTTGTGAAATGTTCCTTTTGCTTTGCCATCTCCACCATCATCCTATAGAGGAAGCATACTGAAGATCTAGTCAAATTCCTAAATTCACAGTTAACATTACTGGAAAGCAATGAAACTATGAGCAACAAAAGGATTTTCTTTTATTTCTTTTATTTTTTATTGATTTTATTGATTTTATTTCTTTTATGAGCTCACATAAGTTTATAGCAATTTAGAGCTATTTTGTAATCCAAAGGGGTCAGGTAGTTAGATATTGTACTTTCTTGACTTCCATACTCAATTTAAAGATTTCTGCCTTCAACTTCTTATTCTTGTTACCTTGCTGCAATTCACCTACTCTCCAGTTGTGCTAGTATACCTGTTCATGATGTCGTGCCATGAAACAGAAGTTGAAGATCAAAAAGAAAATGGTTATGATATACTGGAGAACTGCATCCCTCATAAATACTCTGCAGGATAGTTTGACAAAGTGCGTTTGCGTAGTGCGCAGTGCATTAAGATCTCAGTCTGTGCCTGGGTTTGCAGGCTCAATTAGTGTGTACACATCTCTCACGTATCCTTTTTTCTCATGTATAACATAACAGTTGTCTCACCCAATGCCCATCACATAGGTGTGTGACTGATGAATGGTCAGATGCAGTGAATCACATCATACAGTAGTTACTGTTTTGTGAGTCTACGTATGGGAAGTATGTGTTTTAATGGTCCTCCTTTGAATGTAGTCCCACTTGATGGAGGGGGACACCTGTGGCAGCAATATAGTGTCACAGGTTTGATTCAAGGCCCTTGGTCCTCACAACTCTGCTCTGTAGCCTTCTCTGGCATGTGGGGATACCAAGGGCAAGGGACACCACAGTGCAGCCCCGTACAAGTGTATGAGATCCGAGCTGTTGAAAGGATGTGCAATGAAAGACGGTTGTGTGTCGAAGGCTCAGTGAGGGCAGTTTCTCAGGTCTAAGTACCACTGCTTGTCATAATTTCAGGATGACACTGTATAGATATACAATACTGAAGAAGCATGAGAAGGGTTCTCAATGCATCTCTATGTGCACCAGTAAAAGCATGTCTAAGGTACGTTTTAAACTTCTGTTTGTACAGCTTATGTGCGTATTTTTATGGTAGTGCGGCCTGCTTTACATGGGTAAAATGATTCAGGACTTGATTGTAATTACATTTCTTGATTATATTTTTCCTTTGAGGATAAGTAGGGCATCAGGGGAGGTAAAATCATGTTTTACAATGTGGTTCTAGTTACTGGAGTTTGGAAATGGGCAGAGGTTGAAAGCAGAGAAGTGGAAGGTGATAGAACAACAGAAAGACTGCTTTGGAGTTGAGATGAAGGGATTGTAATTAAGAGGTGCCTTAGCATTCTTGATATCCTATAGACACAGCCGTACTGGCAAAAAATTATTTCTGAAAGCCCAGCATAAACTAAATATGGCTGCAGTGAGATGTAAGTGGTGCACAGACATTGCCCTTATCCTTTGTGATGCTGAGCTCAAGGGAAAGCCAATGCATTTAAATTACATAATGCGTTCTGTGAAACATCGCAGTAAAAAAAGTTTTACAAAAGGGCATCGGAGAAGGGCTGCTTGTTCTTCTCCACTGCCTTCTTCCTCTTTTTACCTTTCCTTGAGAAATAGTGAATATTTTAGCAAGCAAGCAAGCAGGGTGAGTACCTAATTTAACATGTCTTTTAAAATGAAGGTCCCAGTTTGCAAATATGGAAGTGAAGGCTTTCAACTTCTAGATCAAACCATTCCAGCACAGATCAGTAGTCCTTACCATCTGTCCTTTATTGAGAAGCTTTTTTGAAATAAATTGTTCGAACGGGTTTAATTTTGAGTGTGCAGGTATTATCACAAATCTATTACCTTTAAAATCTTAAATTGGCATGCTATGATATAGAGAAGCCAAGATGTAATTGGTACATATTCTAACTACTTTCCTAAAGACAGATCCCATAGGCAAGCTTAAAGGTGCTCCAAAGGTAAGATAAGATGAATTGGTGTTGCCTCAGCTTATGATACCTTTTTCTTTTTTTTTTTTTTTTTACAAGATGTTTTACCCTTTTTATCAAGTACTTTTCATCACATTCATGATAAAAATCAATTAGCAAGAGAGGGTGAACTTTTGCCTAGCACTTCAAATTAAGGACCAAGTATGAACAAATTTAACACTGAGAAACCATCCTGCAAAATTCATTGATTTTTATTGTTATTGCTCAATAGCAAAAGCCACTGGGAGATGTGAACTGGATGAGTTTATG